GCGCCACCGAGCCCGGCTGAAAGTATATTTTTAAAGGAAGGAGGACTGGGCATGGTGGTTCAGGCCTGTCATCCCAGCACTTTGGGAGGTGGAGGCGAGAGGATTGCCTGAACTCAGAGGTTCGAGACCCGCCCAGGCAACTTGGTGAGACCTCATCTCTACAATCGATCAAAAATTAGCCAGGCGTGGTAGCACACACTTGTAGTTCTTTCTGGCTACTTGGAAGGCCAAGGTGGAAGGATCACTAGAGCCCAGCAGGTCAAGGCTGCGGTGACTGTGAGCACGCCACTGTACTCCAGCCTGGGTGGCGGAATGAGACTCCAACTCAAAATAAAGAAACAAATAAAAAATGAAGGAATAGCCGGGCTCGGTGGCTCAGCCTGTAATCCCGTGCCTTTGGGAGGCTGAGGTAAATGGATTGCCTGAGCCTGCGGGTTCGAGACCCGCCTGGGCAGCGAGACCTCATCTCTACAATCAATCAAAAAATCAGCCGGGCATGGTAGCGCACGCCTGTAATTCCGGCTACTCGGAAGGCTGAGGCGGAAGGGTTGCTGGAGCCCAGCGGGTCGAGGCTGCGGTGGCCGGGAGTGGCCACTGCACTCCAGTCTGGGCGACTGAGTGAGACTCCAACTCAAAAAAAAAAAAAAAAATGAAGGAAGGAACAGCAAAAAGATCACAGAACCCCCGACGCAGGGCACGGGAGCTCTGAGCAGAGCACGGTGAGGGTCCATGTGCCAGCCCCTGAGGGTGGCACCAACCCCATGTGCCTGCCAGTCCCGCTCATGTCTCCGTAACTCCCTGGAAGCACCATGGTGGGGGGTTCTGGTGAACCGTGGGTGCAGGGGCGGCAGTGGGAGGGGCCCTACTCGTGCATTCTTTTAAATTTCTTGAGTTTGGGGCTCTGGTTTTATCTCCTGCCAAAAAAACAAATCTCAGAATGGCATTTTCTGCCTCCTTTCCTGGTGGCATGTGGTGCTCGGTGCTGTCCTTGCATGCGGGCAGGGTGAACTGAGCCTCCGGTGACACGCTGGTGCCACCCCTGCAGGCCCCTCTGCTGTTTCTCTATCGTCTCCCTGGTGGTCTGGCTTGCAGGGGTGGAGCTTTACGGCTGTGTTGTTCCAAACCAGCTGTATTCAGGTTCTCCCAGACTTGCATGATCACAAGCAAGTGCTCTGGGTGAATTCTCAGAGGCAGAAGGGCCAGGTGCAGCGGCTGACCCCTGTGATCCCTGCGCTTTGGGAGACCAAGGCAAGAAGATAGCTTGAGGCCAGAGATCAACCCGGGCAATGAGGGAGACCTCTCTTTACTGCAGTATTTGGGAAAGTCGAATGTATGGGATGAAAGGAGCCAGCATTTGGGTTCTTTCATGGCGGGTGCCACATTGCTCCCCAAAGGCTCAAAACAGGCTGACACTCAGGTCTCCGTGGCCTGCAGACTCAGCACTTGCTGGTGTGGGGGTGTGAAGTGAGACCTTGTTGTAACTCACATGTCTTCCTTGGTGGGTTTGAGCATCATTTTGTGTGTTTATTAGCCACTTGATGGTCCTTATATAACTGCCCACTCCTCAGGTTGGTTTGCCTTTTTCTTGTTGGTTTGTCCGAGCTCTTTACATATGAAGGACAGCGGGCCCTTGTCCAGCGGGCGTGTTGGCACCCACACGCTTTCTCGCCCTTTGCAGTGGTTGGCTGGCAGCGATCGGGTTCTTCCAGACTAGCATCGGGGCAGCCATAGTCATGCTGCTTCCGGCCATCATGTTCTCTGTGTCGGCCGCCATGATGGCCATCGTGATCATGAAGGTGAGTCCTCGAGTCCCCGGATGTCCATCCCTCACCCTCTTCTCTCCACGCATCTTGCCACCTGGCCATCCTAGGTGGGTGAACCTGTGGGGTCATGCAGGACATGTTTCATCCCCTGCGTGCATGAGGCGTCACCAGAGACACTCAGAGCAGCGCCTGACTCCTGTGGAGTCGGCACGCGGCCCCTGCCTGGCCCTGCTGAGAGTCCAGACCCAGAGGAGATCAGAGTTGAGTGTAGACCACGCTGTCTGTGGGACCAGTTCAGGCCCCAGAGTGCGTCTTGCGGGGAGGTGCAACCCAGGGTCCCAGACGCAGACTCCCTTGGAAGGTGCAGAAGCATTCTGCTGGGCTGAGGCGGAGAGCGTCAGGTTAAAACAGAAGGCCATTTCCTTGTTTACTGAGGTTACCGTGGGGCCAGGTGTGGTGGCTCACGCCTGTGATTCCAGTGCTTTGGGAGGCCGAGGCAGGAGTCCGGGAGGTGGAGGCCGTGGTGAGCCGTGATCGTGCCACTGCACTCCAGCCTGGATGACAGAGTGAGACCTTGTCTCTAAAATAAACATTAAAGCTGCAGTGGTTTCTAGAAATAGGCCAGTGTTTCCAAGGTGGGCTGGTGCAGGCTGGGATCTGTGTCCATCCTGGGTGTCTGCAGGGGAAATGGTCACAGATGGGCCAGACATGGTGGCAGCGGGTGGTTGAGGCTCTGTAGCCAGGAGGCCGCAGACCTGTGACAGCCTCTGGATGGTGCGCTCCCTGCGTCAGGCCCCATCCAGTGGCTCCCGTGGTCAGAGCCCTGGAGTGGTCAGGGCTGCGACGAGGCAGCAGATGTCAGGCGAGGGTTGCGCCCAGGTGGCCAGCCTCCAGAGCCCGGGAGTGTGGCGGCCTCCTGAC